GAAGAGGAGAGGCTGGGCATTTATCAGAGCTCTTACGGGTGCTCTGCCTCCATCGTTGTTGCCTCCATTCCACAGATGAGGACACTGAGGCTCGGGAAGGTTAGGAAGCACATCAGATGCCACCAAATCGGAAGGGCAGGGCTCGGACTTCCTCCTGGGGCGCCTGGGTTACGATGACAGAGAGACACAGAAGAGGAGAAGGGGAGTCAGAGATAGAGGGAGAGCGGAGGAAGCGGGTGGAAGGAGCTTCTTTTTGAGATGGAGTCTCTCTCTGTCACCCAGGCTGGAGTGTAATGGCACGATTTCGGCTCACTGCAATCTCTGCCTCCCGGGTTCAAGCAATTCCCTGCCTCAGCCTCCTGAATAGCTGGGATTACAGGGGTGGGCCACCACGCCCAACTAACTTTTGTATTTTTAGTAGAGAGGGGGTTTCACCATGTTGGCCAGGCTGGTCTCAAACTCCTGACTTTAGGTGATCTGCCTGCCCTGGCCTCCCAAAGTGCTGGGATTATAGGTGTGAACCACCACACCTGGCCAGAGTTGGGTCTAGAGTGGGTGTGCTGACCTTTCTGCAGAGGACAGAAAGGGGTGTCAGGGGGCTGGTGGGTGAGACATTCTTATGTAGACCCTGGTGCGTCAGCCCTGGCCCTTGCCATGCACAGGAAGACATGCCTGAATGCCAGAGAGACCCTAAGAGACAGCGGGAAGCTAGCCAGCCTTCAGAGCCAGTGGACTCCCACCACAGTGCTCCTGGTGCCCACATCCACTGCAGGAGTCCAGGGTTCTGGCTGGGGCCACCCACACTGAGGCAGACATTCTGGCATGGGCAGTGGGCACAAGAGAGGACAGACCACCTCTGGGACGCCTGGGGTAGTGGGGAAGCAGGGGCCTGGCCATCGACCCCAAGCTTGTACAGCAAACCCCCAAGAAGGGAGATGGGGCTGCAGCTGTGCCGGAAGTCGATAACACAGTGGCCCACCTGATCCTATGCCAGCCAGGGAGCAGAGCCCCAGGGACCTGCAGTGACTTGTCCAAGGTCACGCAGCGCAACTCAGGGGCCACAATGACTTGAACCCAGATCTGTCCAGTCAAAGCCTGAGCTTTGCGTGTGCCCCCTGTGGGCTGTCCCTCCCCAGAGCATAGCTGGAAGTCCCAAGGGTGGGGCTTCAGGGTCTGAGCTGGGGCCCCAGCTCTGCATTTTAACTGGTTCTCTGGGAGATGCCGGCTTACACAGTCCCAACTGAGAGCCCAGGACCCAGGGTGGGGCATCGCCCCCAGAAGATGTCTGATCGCCACCTGCAGTGCCACATGAACAACGGGAGGGAGGCAGACAGACCCGGGTTCGAGTCCTAACTGCCCCGCTTACAAGCAAAGGGATTTTGCTTTACTGGACTGCCCCAGCTTCCCCATCCGTGAAGTGAGACTGTCTACTCTCTGTCCTTGTCCTGGGGCTGTGTCGAGGTCCTGAGGAGGCAGAGGATAGCTCTGTGAGTTCAGAAGGGCTGGATGTGACTGTCACTCACACCAACCCTTGGCGCTGGTAGCTGGCGGTCAGCCTGTTTCAACCAGCCAAGCAGACATTTAAAGGGCACTCACTTTGGGAGGCTGAGGCAAGCGGATCACGTGGTCTGTCAGTTCGACACTAGCCTGACCAACATGGTGAAACCCCATCTCTACTAAACATATAAAAATTAGCCGGGCGTGGTGAGGCGTGCCTGTAACCCCAGCTACTCAGAAGGCTGAGGCAGGAGAATTGCTTGAACCAGGGAGGCAGAGGTTGCAGTGAGCCGAGATGGTGCCATTGCACTCCAGCCTGGGTAATAAAGCAAGACTCTGTCTCACAAAAAAAGGAGGGGGGGCACCCACTGTGTGCCGGGACATGGGGCAATACGGGGCTTGGGGTCAACACACAGTGAGCCAGACGGCAGGGTGATGGGGCGGAGACCTACACAGTGCAGGGCTCACTGGTCCTGGTGAAGTGTGGAGGGCAGTCAGGGTGCAGAGCGGGTCCCTGTGCTTGGGGTCTGGGGGGGGCAAAGGCTTCCCAGAGGAGGTGCTGCTCTCAGGGTAGCAGGAGCCTGCACAGGGAGCCAGGACCCCAGCTCTGGTCCTTTTCCAGACTGAGAATGGGAGCAAACTAATCTCTGCTTCCCAGAGGCAAAATAAGAGATGGGGTCTGCTGATGTATGCGGGATGTCTGGGGTGAAGAGGCCAGAAGTCAGACTTTGCAGTGAGGGGTGGGCGTGGGTGCAGGGGAGGAAGCAGAAAGGGCATTTCTGCAAGGGGAACGCAAATGCAAAGGCATGGAGGTGAGACCTGCCTGGGCCTGCTGGGGGCTGCAGAAGCGGGGCTGCAGGAAGAGGAGCCAGAGGGGCTCACAAGTAGCAGGAAAGAGAAGAATCAGGATAGCGCCATTGACTCAGCCCAGCTAGAGGCTCTGCCATGTGCTAAGGCTTTATGCATGACTTCATGTCCTCCTCGCTCCATGGGGAGACAGGCTCCCAGCATGGAAGTGACCACAGTCGTCCTGAGTTTCTTCATGTGTCAGATGGGGCTGCTGTATACCCCAGGGTCTGGCACAGAGGGCGTGCTCATTACATGGAAGTGCTTAGTGGTAGCAGTGGCTGGGGCATGTCCATGTGACCCCAGCCCCCTGGCGACCTGGTGAATATTACTATGAACATTCATGTTGGTATGAATATTAATAGCAGCTAAATATTCATATTACATTTACTGTGAGCCCCTGTTCCAAGGGCTTTACATGTAATTACATATTTCTTATGACAGCCTATGAGATAAGAGCTATTGTCCTCCCCAATATACAGATAAGAAGCTGAGGCTCAGAGAGGTTAAGCCAGCGGTCCATGGGCACACAGGCAAGTGGAAACCAGGATTAGAATCCAGAGCCCACGCATGTAACCACCACGGTACTGCCTATCTACCTGCTGCCAGAGAGTCTGCCCTACAGTGGCACCTAGGAACCTGGTTTATTTACAGCCTCTCCCCCCGCACTATTCAGGGAGTTTGGAGGGCAGCCACCTTGCTAAACCTGCCAGCAAGGACCATCTCCACTTCTCCTTGTTACCTCAGAGCCAACGAGAGCAGCCAGGGCAGTGGGGAGCCACAGCAGGTTACTCAACAGGAGCATGGCTTGCACCACCAGGCGCTAGGAGGTTGGCTGGCCACTGGGCGAGGAAGGGAGGGTGGGGGCTGGCCAGCACCTCCAACAGCGGGTGGCACACCAGGCTCTGCACCTGCACCTCACCCCGTGGTCTCCCAGGCCCTGAGGGACAGATGGTATCGCCCAGGCCCGGGCCGTGGCTGTCACTCGGCTAGATGAGTTACGAGCAGGCTGGAGGGGTGGCAGCCGGGGGGCCGCAGAAACAATTGCGCTGAGACCCCGGGACAATGGGGGCCACGTGCCATGGGGGCAACAGTCGTTTGTCACACAATAGGATGCTGGGGGACAGCAGCCGGGCCAACTGCTGCCACTGACACGGCCGGCCGCGTTTTCAAATCGTCTCCAGGCCCTGTTTCCCTACAAGGCAACCAATCGCGGGGACAGCCAGGCGGTCACCTGATGCCAGCTTCGTGGGCCCAGGGCCCAGGCCCTGCGACAGCTGAGCAGTGCGGCCATGGCAACGCTAATTGTGGCCCTAAAACACAAGAGGGGAGAGATGGGGAGGAGCATCGGGGAGAGAGACAGAGAGGGAGGAGGAGGGAGAGGGCGAACGTGAGGCCGAGCTGGCCAAGCAGACGGAGGGAGGGAAGGGTCTGGGCCTGGTGCAGAAAACCAGGGCGGTATGTGTCGGTGTCCCACCTCTCTCTGCCCCTCAATCCATGAGGCTGTTTTTGAAACATGGAGCTTAGAATTTAGATGTGGGGCTCTTGGTGACGACACAGAAAGCTCCTGGCTACAGGGGTGGCAGAAGTGGTGGGTGTGGTGCGGACTCCTGGGCTGCTCTGCACCCATGTCACGGAGGGGCCCTGACGGTGTCAGACCCGGTGATCTTGGAGTCACGTGGCAAGTGTGACTTTGGGGCACTGGGGAGTGCCATGGCTACACCACATCACCCACCTGGCTGGCACCCTCAATGGGCAGCTATTTGACATGAAAAGACAAGCAATGTTTTGCCCGTGAATCTATGGTGGCTGGTGGGCATGGGTCCTCACTGGAGCCTCCTGGAGCCCCCAGGGGTCAAAGTGAAGGGCTCAGACATCAGGAGGCACTGACTGGGTCTCAACCCCACCACCTCCTGTTCTGTATCGCCTTGTGCAAGTGACTCCGTGCTCCAAGCCTCAGTTTTCTCATCTGTGCAAGGGGAATATGGACCCACCCACCATCTCGCAGCTGCTGTGGGGATTGTGCAGGACAGCGCTTGTTGATGCTGAATCTAGGCCCTGGCAGGTAGCAGGCACTCAGCTGCCTCAGCACATGGCGGGATCATCCACACAGACTGTCCCCAAGTTCCACCATCCTCACAGCTACGGCACGGCAGGAAACTGCCCTGGACGTGGAGTCAGGCAGCTGATCCTGCCAGGGCAGCTGGGACCCTGACACAGGCCCTGGCTGCTCTGTGCTGTAGTGTCCCATAGTAGGTAAGCTCCAACTATGCCTCAGTTTCCCCATCTGTAAAGTAGGAATAATAATAATAACAACACCTGCCCCGTAGGGTGACTGGGAGTGTTAAAAGGCTTGACCGGTGCCTAGCACATAGTAAGTCCTCAGCAAACATTCGTGTGTATTATTTTTGTGGTTGGTGCTAAGTAGGATGCATTAAATGGGTGAAGGAAGGACTGATGAGGATGCGAGATCTGGCCACCAAGAGAGATCCTGGTACCAGGTTCCCACGCCCAGTCCTGGAGACGGGCAGGTTGGAGGGCTGGCGTGGCTTGGGGAGATGAGGTACATTCAGAGGGTGCTTCCAGAGGTCAGGACGCCCCCCCAGGAGCTGACCTAAGCTCCCCCTCCCGCCCGAGCTCTCTGCTCCTCTCTGCAGGCTTCTGGCCACCACCAGCGATGATGACCTCCCCGGGGACCTGCAGTCGCTGTCGTGGCTCACGGCAGTGGACGTGCCTCGGCTGCAGCAGATGGCAAGTGGCCGCGTGGACCTGGGCGGCCCCTGCGTGCCACATCCACACCCAGGTAGGCTCAGGGACAAGGTTGGCAGAGGGGAGGGTGATATAGGAAAAGAGGTGACTCCCAACCCTGCCACCCACCCAATATGTGGCCGTGACCCGGTCACCCAGTCTCTCTGGGCCTCTCTTTCTGCATCTGTAAAATGGGACTAATCCTCCCTTCCATAGAGGGGTATGGTTCATCATTTGCTTTACTGTGTGCCAGGCCCTGGGTGAGCTAAGGTTTCTGTGAATACAGTTCTGCTGCCACACTGGTGCATCCTAAACCTCTAGGGCAGTTGGCAAACTACAGCCCCTGGGCCAAATGCAGCCTATGACCTGTTTTTGTACAGCCTTTGTGTTAGGAATGGATTTTATACTTTCCAAGGATTGTAAAAACACAGAGACCATCTGGATGGCAAAGCCTAAAATATTCACCATCTGGCCCTTTACAAAACATGTTTCCTGTCCCCTAATTGAGAGGATTCCAAGAGGTAATATGTGGAAAGTGGTGAATGTAGGGTGTGGCACACAGTAGATGCTCAATAAATGGCAGCTAGTTGCAGCCATAAAAAATGGATAAAATGCTTAGAGACACAAAGTACTGAAGAAAAGCAAAACAGTAACAAAACAATGACCACAGTATATTAAAAGTACCAGTGGTTGGCTGGGCACAGTGGCTTACACCTGTAATCCCAGCACTTTGGGAGGCCAAGGCGGGTGGATCACAGGTCAGGCATTCAAGACCAGCCTGGCCAATATGGTGAAACCCCATCTTTACTAAAAATACAAAAACCAGTCAGGCGTAGTGGCAGGCATCTGTAATCCCAGCTACTCGGGAGGCTGAGGCAGGAGAATTGCTTGAAACCAGAAGGTGGAGGTTGTAGTGAGCCAAGATGGCACCACTGCACTCCAGCCTGGGCCAAAGAGAGAAACTCCATCTCAAAAAAAGAAAAAAAGTACCAGTGGTTGAAAACTACTTGTCTAGGATTATTTATTTCATTGGGCAAAGCATGTATAGCAGGGGTCAGCAAGCTTTCTGTCAAGGACCAGGTAGTAAATATTTTAGATTGTGTAGGTCATCTGATCTCTGTCAAAACGATTCATCTTCACCATTGTAACACAAAACCAGCCAGAGACAATATGTAAACGAATCGGTGCAACTCTGTGCCAATAAAACTTTATTTACAAAAACAGGCCATGGGCCAGAGTTTGGCTGCCAGTCAGTTTGCCAACCCCTGATCTAGAACCCTCAGGGGACAGCTGTGTAAACCCGGTCAAGTCCTTTCTCCTCTGAGTGGTTTCCACATCTGCAGCAAAAGTGTAACAGAACTGCCGGCATGCGACATGGTAAGGATTTGCTGCAGAAAGTGCCTTGAAAGCAGGAGACGTTTAATAAATGGTGAAATAAAGACACCTCTTCTTTCTCCCCTGTGCCTGCTGGGCACTTTCTGTGGGCCTGTTGCTGTGCCAGGAATTTGGAGCAATGAGTGGTCCCAGTTTGTAGGGAGCTGATTGTCTGGTCAGAGAGAGAAGGACAAGACAAACAGATCTAGGGACAGTGGCAGCCAGAACTCAGGAGAGCTGAAGGACCCAGAGGGCTTCCTGGAAGAGGTGGCCCTAGGGCAAGACCATCCTACATATCAACTTCGCTTGATTATTGGAGGTGGCTGCCTAAAATCAGGCTGGTGTAGTAAGACTCTATGATGGATTAGCAATGTCTGTCATAAGCCCAACAAGAGGTGGGGGAAGTATGTCTGCTATTCTCATCCAGGGGGGAGGAGCAGGGCTTGGCAACAGGGAGAGGAGGCACAAAGGCATTCTGGACCTAAACCTAGAGGCACTCGAGAGCCATGGCTTGTTTTTGGGGAAAAGAACAACGAATTGGCATTTTAGCTTCGTGAAAGATAAGAACTGAGGTATTACATCATCATGATTATCATTTATTATTGCCTCATGTTTATTGAGAGTTTATCATGTGCCCAGCAATGTGCTAAGCACTTGATAGACATTATCTCATTTAACCATCACAGCAAATTTATAGTTAGGGGATATCAGTAGTCCAGGGACAAATGGGGAAACTGAGGCTGACCTAAGGTTACACAGCTAGTAAGAACCCACTTTTCACCACTACACACCGGGGAAGTGATTTGCCAAGCACCTAGTACCTGCCTGGTCTGAGGAAAGGGGCTGGCTCTGTTCTCCGGAGACACCTGGGCACTGGGCCATTCCTGGTGGCAGCCACCATTCCTCTGGCCCAGTGGCATCTCTGTGCTTCTCTTCTGCAGGTGCCTTGGCTGGGGCAGCCGACCTGCATGTGGGAGCCACTTCAAGTCCCCTTCTCCATGGCCCAGCAGGCATGGGCCCTCGAGGCATGCCAGGTCTGGGCCCCATAACCAGCCATGGAGACAGTGTAAGTGCCAGCGCATGGACTGTGGAGAGCGGGCAGTGCCCGCCAGACTGGATGTCCACCCTGACCCTCTGCCTCCTCTTCCTGCCCAGCAGATGAGCCAGTTCCCCATGGGGACCCAGCCCTCATCTGGCCTGCAGGACCCGCCACCTCTGTACTCGCCTGCCACGCAACCACAGTTCCCGCTCCCCCCGGGCACCCAGCAGGTACCAGAGGCTCAGGGAGCCCTGGACTCAGCAGCAGAAACCCTGCCGTGGGCTAGCCAGGGACCTCTCTGAGCCTCAGCTGACTCACTCAGAACATGGGGATAACATTCCCCATTGTGCTCATTCCATTCCCCAAAACTCTGCCCTGTGTGGAGACAAGATTGTTTCCTGCGTGGTTGTGAATCCCCACACGAGGCGTTTTGAAACTGCGGTGGGGACAGGGTTACTGTGACGTGTGTGCTTTCTCACCTTCTCTCTCTCTGCCACTTTCTCCCTGCCCCTGCCTGTGGGAAGTGCCCTCCTGTGGGCCTCTATGGCTCCCCATTTGGGGTGCGGCCCCCGTACCCCCAGCCCCACATGGCTGTGCATTCGTCTCAGGAACTGCACCCCAAACACTACCCCAAGCCCATCTACTCGTACAGGTGAGGTCCAGGGTGGGCTGGGTCAGGGCCGAGGGTGGCTTCGGGAGAAGAGGGATGAGGCTGCCCTCAGAGCATCTTAGACAGCTAGGTGTGGCAGCCCCGATGTCCAAGGGGGAGGTTTGGGGAGTGGGGAACCCCCAGGTGGGAGTAGTTCTCAGGAAGGACAATCATAGGATCAGTCAATCTGCTGGGTCAAGAGCCCACTGCAGACCTGAGTCCAGTGCCCCACTTCACCTCCTCATTCACAACTGTGTGGCCTTGGGGAAGTGGCATGACCTCTCTGAGCCTCGATTTCCCCAAATGTAAGAAGTCATCAAAATAACAGTACTGTATACCTCCTGGGAATTTGGGGAAGAGGTAACAACCTAGGTAAAGTCTAAAGGCTCATAGCCATTAAAACTATGGGGATGGAATAAAGAGGGGAAAGGGTAAGATTTCTCAAGTCAGTACCAGTGGTTGAGCCCAGGGTCAAGGAGAAACGGCAAAGGGTGGGAAAGACATCGAGCCATGAAAAGGTATCAAGAGCTCACTGTGTGTGAGTGTGTAAGGTCAAGTAGGGCAGGCTTCCTGGCAGAGGAGGCATTGGGCTGTCAGCCTGAGACCCTTTCACGCCTGGCCTGCCCTGCCCTACCTCCTGCCCCCAGCTGTCTGATCGCCATGGCTCTGAAGAACAGCAAGACAGGCAGCCTGCCTGTGAGCGAGATCTACAGCTTCATGAAGGAGCACTTCCCCTACTTCAAGGTGAGAGGTCCCAAGCCAGGTTAGGGGCGCTGGAGCTGCCCTGGTGTCTTTCTGGTGTTGCCAGAATCCAGGGCTGGCCCTGGGCCAAAGTGGACCGCCCTCATGGGTTCCCAGTTATGTCTGTATATCTGGTGGTTACGACATATGCCTGTATACTCACATAGAAGAAAGTCAGAAAGAAACAGGGGCATTTGAACTGGGCTCTGACAGATGAATAGGAGTTCGCTAGGCATCCCAAAGGGAAAAGGGTAGAGGCACCAGACTAGTTACTCAGCACAGACTCAGTGCAAAATAATGACGCAAAACAACAGAACTGGCAAGAGCCTTCACCTCTGAGCCTCAGTATCCACAACTGTCAGGTGGAGAATCATCCCAAACTGGCAAGGTCAGTGAGGAGCCTGCATATAAAGGGCCTGGCAGCTTCCCGCATAGGGTTGGCCACTTAGTAATGTTATCCTTATTATCATCACAGCAAAAAGTGGAGCAGGAAGTTAGAGGGTACACCAAGCTGTAGGGTTTCTGGCCTGGAAAATGTCCTTAGCAGAAATATGGCAGCACTGTGTGTGTGTGTGTGCACGCACACGTGTGGTGTGAGATGCATTGCGATATCTGGTTACCTGGCATTTAAAAATAATTTCCTGGTGGTGCACGCCTGCAGTCCCAGCTACTTGGGGGGCTGAGGTGGGAGGATGGTTTGATCCCTGGAGGTTGAGTTTGCAGCAAGCCATGATCATACCACTGTACTCCTGCCTGGGTGATGGAACAAGACCCTGTCTCAAAAAAAAAGTAAATTTCATGGAATGATCCATTTATTGGCATCATTCTTCCCTGCTTCCTGAGTGGGAGAGAGAGTAGAGAGAAGACCCAGCAGGCGGGGCTGCAGTCTCCTGCAGGAGCAGTTGGCTGGGGCTGAATTGTAGTTCCTCTTCCATTGGGCGTGGCCACACCAGTTGGCCTCAGTCCCCAGCACTCTCTCTTGTCTCTCCAACTTGAGGCTGAGTGTCAGGCACTGTCAAGTTACTCCTGCCACTGTGGTGTCCTGCCTGTAGAGGCCAGAGGAGGAGATCCCCGGGGTAGGAGAAAGAGCGTACAGGGAGGCCTCTGAAAGGGTCTGCTGAGTGCCCATGTCTCTTCCTAGACGGCTCCTGACGGCTGGAAGAACTCGGTGCGGCACAACCTGTCTCTGAACAAGTGCTTCGAGAAGGTGGAGAACAAGATGAGTGGCTCCTCCCGCAAGGGCTGCCTGTGGGCTCTGAACCTGGCCCGCATCGACAAGATGGAGGAGGAGATGCACAAGTGGAAGAGGAAGGACCTGGCCGCCATCCACCGCAGCATGGCCAACCCCGGTGAGGCCCGCAGCACGGACACACACATGCACACGCACACATGCATGCACACGCACACATGCATGCACACATACACACACACGGAAGACGAAGGACCTGGCCACCATCCACCACAGCATGGCCAACCCCGGTGAGGCTCGCAGCACGGACACACACATGCACACGCACACATGCATACACACATACACACACACAGAAGAGGAAGGACCTGGCCACTATCCACTTCAGCATGGCCAACCCTGGTGAGGCCCACAGCATGAGCATGAGCGCGCGCGCCCTCACACACACACGCACGCACGCAAATACACACACACACATATACATGGAAGAGGAAGGACCTGGCCGCCATCCACTGCAGCATGGCCAACTCCAGTGAGGCCCGTAGCATGCACACACACACACACGGAAGAGGAAGGACCTGGCCGCCATCCACCGCAGCACGGCCAACCCTGGTGAGGTCCGCAGCACGGACACACACATTCACACGCACACATGCATGCACACATACACACGGAAGAGAAAGGACCTGGCCACCATCCACTTCAGCATGGCCAACTCCGGTGAGGCCCGCAGCACGGACACACATTCACACACACACATGTATGCGCACATACACACACACAGACGATGAAGGACCTGGCCGCCATCCACCGCAGCATGGCCAACCCCAGTGAGGCCCACAGCATGGACACACACACACACACACACACACACACAGAGAAGAGGAAGGACCTGGCCACCATCCACCGCAGCATGGCCAACCCCG